ATCGGAAGCGTCGTCAAATTGTAACTCTTCTCGATCTGTGTGAAAAGTCTCCTATTTGCCCCTTCCGACTGTCGATCAGAAAGCTATTTGATTGTAGCTTTCGTTGTGAGAGCTTGACGGGAATCAACATCCATAGTGTTTTGAAGATGGATATTTGCCCACAGCTCTCTACCAAGCGACTCACCAACTAAGTCCAACCTTTTATTTCTGAAATCATTACACTGCTCATCAGCATCTCTAATAGTTGCTAATATAATATTAGTCATGCTGTTGTCGCAGCCATCAAGATCAATCATCTCAGAGATGAGGCCGTGTTTATAGCGGTTGCAGAGTTGCGGATGCAGTGATTAGAAAGCCGTCTGATTGTAACTTCCATTATCAGGGATTGATAGGGATTAGCTATCCATTGTGATTTTTAGACAGCCTACACCTGCATTTCGTCATCGAACGTGATGTCTATGAATATAAGTTGATCAACAATCATGTTAAACTCGCTAAGGTGCATTGTGAAGGAGCGTCCTTCTGCCATCTTGAAATTAAAAAGTATCTTGACGAGATGCATCTTGTTTGCGGTAGACGGTTGCTCGTACATCTTCGTAAGTGCTTCCATAAGCCCAACCGTCGTCATCTCCTTCAATATGTTGTGTGTGACTGTCTTAGCGAGTGACAACCGGATTTTCCCTAGAGCCTTCCTATCCAGTATCTCCCAATGCTCGTTTGACTCTTCTTTCTTCTTTCTCTTAGTCTTGCCCATCAACAGGTGATACAAGTCCTTTTGGTACAGATAGTCCTCTATATACCACTTCCAGTAGACGAAGTCTGAACCGTCAAACTTCTCGATCTTAAATTTGCTTTCCTCTGTCATGGCTCTCTCACAATCCTTCTGAACGAAGCTCTGATGCTCTGATACCGGTTGTTAGGGATTTGAAACAATCAAATTGAACTTTTGCCCTTCCGGACATTGTGTTTGAGAGTAGGAAAGTAGGAAAAATCACAACAAATAAAAGATAAAAACTTGCAGGAAAGTAAACAAGAAAGAACACACCATATTTAATGAGATTTGGCAATCGTGCCTATGTTCTCGGGAGCCACACCATACAATTCTTTGATTAATATTGAAGAAGATTGTAATGCCCACAAATAAGATCTAATCTCTCTGAGATCTCTCTGAAGAATTCTCTCAAACCCTCTTTTCTGATGTCTAATCTCTTCTAAGTCGTTCCATATATATAGAAAACCTAAAATCAAAACAGACTAGGAATTCTAAAACTAAAAAACAAAACAAATTAGGAATCCTAATAACCTGTTACCAAAACTTATTAAGAATCATGTTACCAAAACAGGTTAAGAATTTTGTTACCAAAACAGATTAGGAAACTTGTTATCCAACAATTTGTTTGATTCCAGTTTTGAGTCTATATCCCTTAGACTAACAAGAAAATCGTGTTTCAATATATACCAAAACACAATCCCAAAGAAAATAGGAAACAAAGCCCAAGGCCCAGCACGACACGTGGTCGACCGCGACGATCGACCGAAACCAACGACAGAACCTAAGAAACATTACAGGGTCTCACGGTCGACCGTCACAGTCGACCGCAACCAATCGACAGAAATTAAAATCCACTACAGTGT